CGAGCATGGAGGGACGGCAGAGCTGGGGCTGGTGGCTCTGGTCCCAGGGGAGGAGGATGAGGGTCTGGGGGAGCACGCTGGGACCTGGGACCCCTAGCTGGGCTGGGAGAGAAAGGCAATATTGTAGGGGAAAATCACCGGTGCAGATGGGCTGCCCAACACCGCCTTTCCAGAGACTGGGCATAAAAATGCCTTCTTTACACCGGCGTGGTCTGGCTGGAGGGAAGGTTGATTCCCAGCCCTCGCAAACCCAGACCCTGCAGGGCATTTGGCAGGTTTATATAAAGCACAGCTGGAAGGAGCTCCACCAGCCCGGTAGAGCGGGGGTGTGGGTCCTGCGCCCCTTGGCCAGTCAGAAATGTCTGAATTTGGGGTAATGTGACATCAAAAGAGTTATGAAACATCCTTCCCAGAGGACTCCTGCCCCGTGCTCAGAGCTATTTGCCAACACGGGCTCCGAACACTGCCTCCATGCCCCCTGGGAGCCCCCGTTAAATAAAAAGGCACTTAAAATCAGAACTGAAAACAAGCTCATCCTCATCCTGCGAACACCAACAGCTCATGTGAACATGTCGCCATAATCTCACCACTGTTGGTCTAAACAGCAGCTTCCATGCTTATTAGCACTCCTGCCATGCAGCTCTGTCCCATCCCGGCACAGCGGAGGGGTCCTCTCCCAGCACCGTGGGGGATGTCCCATCCCAGCACTCTGCTGCTGTCGTTGCAGGGAGGGCCAGGAGTCCCCGGAGCAGTGGCAACGGATGTACGGGCGCTGCTCGGGCAACGAGGTCTACCACATCCGCATGGGCGACAGCAAGTTCTTCATGGAGTACGAAGGGAAGAGCTTCACCTACGCCGCCTTCCACGCGCACAAGAAGTGAGGGCAGGGGGCAAGGGGCAGGGTGTATCTGCCGGTCTGTGTCCCTGGGGGCTCGGGGCTGGGGCTGGAGGGTGCTGTGAGATCCTTCGTGCAGGGACGAAGCCCCGAAGGGGCTTTTCTCCAGCTGTGGATGCCCACGTTGTGCTCTCGGCACAGGTACGGCGTCTGCCTGATCGGCATCCGGAGGGAGGAGAACAGAGCATCCTGTTTCGGCCCGCGGCACATCATGGCAGCGTCCGACACCTGCTTCTACATCAACATCACCAAGGAGGAGAACTCTGCCTTCATCTTCAAGCAGGAGGAGAAGCAGAAGAAGAAGGGCTTTGTGGGGAGAGGCACCTACGACGGCCCGTCCCGCCTGCCTGTGCACAGCATCATCGCCAGCATGGGTGAGTCGGGGGGGCCTCGGAGGGACCGGGGGCAGCGGAGCTCCCCGGGAGGGCAGGGGAGGATCCTGCACGTGCTGCTCTGGCTCCTTCCCCCAGTTTGGTTTCATCGCCTTTCCTGGGTTTGGTTTTATTTCGCAAACTCCTTGCCATGCCCCCCACCTGGGTATCGCTGGAAGCCACTGGAAATCCCTTTCCGTTCCCTGTCCCGGTCACCTCACCAGTAAAACACACACTGCTCCTTGTACCCTGGGTGCTCTCAGCAACCTCAAATATCGTCATTAAAGCTCGTGATGTCCATTATCATTAACGGTATTTGCATAAATCCCCCAAGCCCTGGCTAGAAGAACAAATGCTGTTGGCCACATCCTAAATCACATTTATGATTCACAGCCCGACGCAGAGCATAGTTTGCTCTGCAGCGAGTGGTGCATTTTTGCAAATAAAACCCACCATGAGTCATTACTTCCAGCTTGTATCTGGGGAAGGCGCGTTTTGGGGCTGCCTGGAGAGGCTGCGCTACACGAGCAGATTGTATTTCAGGCAAATAATTTATGCATTTGTACTCATGAGCAGCAATTTGCATAGATTATCTCCCAGCAAGCCACAAAGCACTTTGCTGAACAGCGTTTGTCAGTGTTCTCGTTACGTGGATTGTTCGCAGAGAGACCTTTGGCAAAGAGTAACGAGAGGGAGAGAAATTGCATGAGGGCGAGCAGGGCAGCGGTGCCCGGCCAGCCCGGCACCTGGGCTTTGCTTGCTGGGAAGCTCCCCACGTTCCTGACCATCTAAAAATCACTGTTTGGCCAAGACTGAGATGAGAGCCTCGGCAGGAGGTGGCCGCGGCGGGGGGACGGGGAGGGGGACGCTCCCCAGGGCCAGCAGCCCGCACCCACCGTGGGAGCATCCCGAGCTGTGCCCCCGGGGAGATGCTCCACCAGCGATGCCCACGCGGAGGTCGCTGGTGGGTGCTGTGCCACCACTCCCCGTGCCCGTGACCGGGTTAGCTTCACACGGGTGGTACTTACCAGGCACGAGGCTCAGTCCTGCATGCTCCACCTCATCCCCGTGCAGGACCACCTGGGCAAGGTGCTTTTCCACGCTGCTTTGCCGATGCAGCTCTTTTCACCTCCTTATAGCATGTTTGCTGTGCTTCCTCCCCCGCCGTGTCCAGGTACAGTAGCCATGGACCTGCAAAACACGGAGTGCCGCCCCGCTAACAGCAGCAAGCTGACGCTGCCGGCGGAGAACGGCTCGGGCAACCGCCGGCCCAGCATCGCGCCCGTCCTCGAGCTGGCCGACACCTCCTCCCTGCTGCCCTGCGACCTGCTCAGCGACCAGTCGGAAGACGAGATGACGCAGTCGGACGAGGAGGGGTCGGCGGTTGTGGAGTGAGTCGCCCGCCTTCGGTCGAGCTGTCCCTTGCTTCAAGAGAGCCGGGGACCATTGCACGTGACGGGCGTTCGGCGGTGCCTGAGGGATGCTCAGGCTCAGCCCCTCTCAGCTTTTTCTGAGCACACCAACGTCTGTAACACGGGCAAGCGCCGCCTGGCCGTGAGCTTTCGGAGAAGTCTCCTCTGGGTGTCAGCGAAGTTGTGCTGAGCCAGACACCGCCGGGGATGGGCAGGGTTGCTCCGTCAGTCCTCTCACCTCCCTTCGCTCACCGACGGGAAGAGGAGCCTATTCTCCATTGCACATCAATAAAAAATGCAAAATAAATATTTACTCCAGCGTTAAAGCCGTTAGTTTGTGACGGCCAGATAAGCACTCGCTTCCCTGGTTCCCTGTTTGGATGCTGTCACAGGGATGTGAGGAGCTCGCCGACTATCTGCAAACTCGCAAGTTGGCTTTTAATTCATGCCCACTTGTAGCTGCTCTTCAAATGAAAATTTCTGCTTCTGGTTCCATCAAAAACACAAATGGTGATTTTTACAATATCTGTTCACCAAAAGCAAACTCTAAAAATGGGCCATGTGGGGTTTTTTGCTTCTTTATATGGCTCAGCATCGCCCCCCTCTCCTGGAGCTCTCTGCCCTGTCTTCCTCTGTGGTCAATGGTCCTATCTGCTGCCTTCTCCACCCGTGCTGGGAACACCGCATGTTTGCAATCTCATGACTCTTTGCACAGCAAAAGAGATTCCTAAATACGTGTATTTTGTAAAATTTCCAACTGCTGTGGGAGGGTTTTGCAAAGCATTTACCAGTGACGTGCTTGAGCCCTGGGTCTGCTGCTTCTAAACGTTTTTCCCAGTGCCTGAGCGTTGTTGGAGGGGGTCCAGAGGAGGCCACAAAGATGCTGGGAGGGCTGGAGCCCCTCTGCTGGGAGGACAGGCTGGGAGAGTTGGGGGGGTTCAGCCTGGAGAAGAGAAGGTGAAAAAGGGGAGACCTCAGAGCCCCTTCCAGTGCCTAAAGGGGCTCCAGGAGAGCTGGGGAGGGACTCCTGATCAGGGGAGTGGAGTGATAGGATGAGGGAGAATGGCTTCAAACTGGAAGAGGGGAGATTTAGATTAGATATTGTGAAGAAATTGTTGCCTGTGCGGGTGGTGATCCCCTGGGGCAGGTTGCCCCGAGAAGCTGTGGCTGCCCCATCCCTGGAGGTGTTCAAGGCCAGGTTGGACGGGGCTTGGAGCAACCTGGGCTGGTGGGAGGTGTCCCTGCCCAGGGCAGGGGGGTGGGACTGGGTGATCTTCAAGGTCCCTTCCAACCTAAACCATTCTATGATTCTATATGTGCAAAGCTCTCCCCATGTCCTCACACTGCTGGGTTTTCTCTCTGTGGCAGGTACGTGAAGGGCTACCCACCGAACTCCCCCTACATTGGGAGCTCCCCAACTCTGTGCCACCTTTTACCCGAGAAAGCCCCTTTCTGCTGCCTGAGGCTGGACAAGGTACGATGGGGCTGCACGCGGCTGCCTGGGGGCTGCAGCCACCCCCGGGAGCGGGATGGCTCCGTGTGTGGTGGGTGGGCAGCCAAGAGCCGGGCGCTGAGTCCCTGCGCTGCCTTCCACCGCACAGGGCTGCAAGCACAACAGCTTTGAAGATGCCAAAGCCTACGGGTTTAAGAACAAACTGATTATTGTTTCGGCGGAGACGGCCGGGAACGGGCTGTATAACTTCATTGTCCCCCTTCGTGCGTACTATCGGTCCCGCAAAGAGTTGAACCCGATCGTGTTGCTGCTGGACAACAAGCAAGTACTTTTCCACGGATGTTTTCCATCGCACCAAGCCCTCCCCGGCGTTTCATGGGCATCTCATACCATGGGGATGGGAGCATGGGGAAATGGCAGTGCCACTGTTGGGAGCCCTGGCTGATGTTGACCCTGGGGACTCCTGTGTGGGGTTTGTGTCTGTCTTTGCCCCATGGACTTGCTGAACCACTGTTGCTCTTCCTCCAGGCCCGAGCACCACTTTCTGGAAGCCATCTGTTGTTTCCCCATGGTTTACTACATGGAGGGCACGATCGACAAGTAAGTGTTTCCACATGTGGCTGTACGGTGATGCCTAAATGTGTTGCATTTACCCCAGCCTTTTGGGTCCCCAGCCTTTTGGGTCAGCCCATGAGAAGCCCCAGGGTCGGTACCGTAGAGCTGAGCCCACCCTTGGCTTCTCGGGTTGTCAAACCCTCCCCTGGTAGATGGGAGCAGGTAAAGAGCTGGTGGTTGGGAGCAGCCTGGGCTTGCTGTAGCGCTGCGTGTCGCAGCGTGCTGCTTCCCTGTGTCGTTTCCAAGGGCTGACCCTGCGCTCTTCTCTTTGGGAACTGCCCAGCCTGGATAGCTTGCTGCAGTGCGGCATCATCTACGCCGACAACCTGGTGGTTGTGGACAAGGAGAGCACTATGAGCGCCGAGGAGGACTACATGGCAGATGCAAAGACGATTGTCAATGTCCAGACCATGTTCAGGTGAGGGGTGACCACTGCCCCAGCTCCATCATGGCCACTTAACTCTGCTGGAGACAAGGCCGGGAAGGGTGCCGATGGCTGGGGTGGTGGCTACGGGCAGTGGGACACATCTGCAGTTGGGCTCGCTCTAGGAAACAGCATCTAATCAGCTATTTCTGACCTCAACGGGCACAGGGATGGTTTTGGTCCTCCTCAGGCTTTAAACACCGGGAGTGCTCTGATTTCTGAGTGAGCTGCAGCACAACAGGTCTCTTTCCATTGCAGGCTCTTCCCCAGCCTCAGCATTATCACAGAGCTGACCCACCCCTCCAACATGAGGTTCATGCAGTTCAGAGCAAAGGACAGTTACTCTCTTGCCCTTTCCAAGCTAGAAAAGGTAAGAGAATGTCTTCCCCTGCATGCGGGGCCTGGGAAGTCAATGCCGAGAGTGACTACATTTGACCTCCTCAAGGTCCTGCGCTCTTCTGCATGCTGCAGCTACCATAGCTGGTGTGCATCTACCTGAGATAACCAGCAGCAAACAAATACGTGGGCAGTCAATCTAGCTGCCTCCTTCTACATATTTATGTATTTATTTGGTGGCTGGAGTTTGTGCTGCTTTGCCAGCTGCTGTGCTGGGCACACTGGACCTCTGAATCAGGTTTAATGCTGTGACTGCAGTAAGGGGGGGGATGGGGTCACTGTGCTGAGACAGATCTGACAAGGGGGAACGCCCTGAACCAGACTCTGGGGCGTGTGAAAGGGCCCCATCCAGCCCATGTCAAAAAAACCTAACCGTGTCTCACACATATCCATGGAAAAAAAAACCGAACTCTTTCACCCAGTGAAAGGATGCTGCCCAGGTTCCCTGCTGGCACACCCACCAGAAACGCTACGCTGGTGTCCTCCCATTTTCATGAGTCTTCTAGTTTCGGTGCAACCTGTACGTGGGGGAGGCTCTGTGGTTTTGCTTTGCTAAATGCCCTGGAAGGTTGTGAACAAGCTCCTGCCAACGGTGTTTGCCAGCAAGCGCTCACGTCTCCCCTTCATCTTCCAGAAAGAGCGAGAGAACGGCTCCAACCTGGCCTTCATGTTCCGGCTGCCCTTCGCGGCCGGGAGGGTCTTCAGCATCAGCATGCTGGACACGCTGCTCTACCAGGTGAGAGCCCGACGGGCTCTGGGTGATGCACCCCTGCAGTTGTGGCCGCCCCTTGGTGTCTCCCAATGAATAACCGAGCAAACCTTTTCTCCGGCTTCCTGCCCAAATGTCTCCCCCCAGTCGTTCGTGAAGGACTACATGATCACCATCACTCGGTTGCTGCTGGGCCTCGACACCACGCCGGGCTCCGGCTACCTCTGTGCGGTAGGTACCACAGCCCTCTGGGTTGAAACCATCGGGCCAAGTCATCGTGGATCTGGTGGGATCTGTCACAGGGGTGGGGGGTTCCCCTCTTCTGGGAGTTGTGGGGGAGGCAGCATTGGGCAGAACACGCCAGGTCATTGCTCCCCTCCATTGCGTGTGGGGAACCACAGCACTACCAAGAGCCCAAAAGCCCAAGAGCGGCCAAGGACCAAAGTCCCCATTCTGAAAGCTGAGGTTGGAAATTGCCCCTGGTCTTTTTGTGGAGTCCAGCTCACTTTTGGGATTGACATGGCTGAGCTGGGATGAAGCTCAGGAGCAGCCCCGAGGCGCTCCTCAGGACAGCGCAGGGCGGTTGACGTTTGTCCTCTGTTGCTCAGATGAAGATCACCGAAGATGACCTGTGGATCCGGACATATGGCCGCCTCTTCCAGAAGCTCTGCTCCTCCAGTGCGGAGATTCCCATTGGGATTTACAGGACGGAGTCGCACATGTTCGCAACCTCCGAGGTAGGAGCGCGGCAGTGGCGTGTGCCAGCGAGGGGCTGCTGGTGGTCCCAGCCCAGCATCACCGCCCGGCAGAGATGCGGTCCCTGAGGCTG